AGGTATGTGAGAGGGTGAATATATTTGCCGAAGAAGACGAAAGCGACCTACACCTTATCGCCAACCTTGAATCCCTTGACCTCGTTACCGATGGCCACAATGACACCAGAAGCTTCACTGCCAGGAACGGTAGGCCTGTCAGGCCACATTGGAATATCGATGTTGCCAATGCGCGCATCTACCGGATTGAGTCCCGCGGCTTCGACACGAACAAGGATTTCTTCCGGCCCCGGGGTGGGTACGCCTCTATCCTTGATAGTGCGAGACAAGGGCTTCGCATCGACGATAAGAGCAAGATTTGTTTGAGCGGACATAATGGACTGGATTGAGATGGACTACATGGGCTTGTGTTGGTGTGTTTTTATGGTCTGAGTGTCTCTCAGCTGATTGAATGCTTTAGAAGCTTCGGTGTAAGAATGTATGGCCGAACGAACCCAAAGAGAGGAAAGAAGCCACATCGGTCATCGCCCGGAGAATCAGTAATCGGGCTTTGTCAGAGTCGGGCCTCAGCCCGGTGCGGGGAGTCGAACCCCGGCCTGCACGCTGACGCTTTAGCCGCGTTACCGAGACGCGTTGTGTACCGTACACCACACCCGACGCTTTATCCTGGGTTAAGTGAGGATTTTGGATAGCGCATTTTAGAGCCCCGCTACCCAGCAACCGAGGTTCCAAATTTACGGGGTGAATAAATGTTGTCTTGTCATTTCAACCAGGACCGCGCGAGTGGGCGTGTAAATGCCAACAACGGCGAAGGGAAGAAAGAAAGAAAAGAAAAAAAGTCATTTCGATTCCCAGGATTCGGGCGCGGGGCGTCGAACCCCGGACTGCGCATTATCCTCATTTCTCGAAGGATTCTGTATGAAGACCCGCGGTGTGCCGTACACCACACCCGATGATTTCATCTGTTCATTCCTCGAGTACGTGAGCCACGCTTGACGAATCTCGAGCGGATTTTTTTGTACCGGTGCTACTGAGTATCGGCATTTCCTAGGCATTTCTGTGGTCGCTGATTGAATTCCTTTGCAGCAAAGCGTCCTAAGAAAAAAGAGTACGGTCCAATCTCGAGTCGGGTTACGAGAAAAAAAAATTCAAAGGGTACCATAAATTCGGGCGCGGGGAGTCGAACCCCGGACTGCGCGCTGCAAATTTCTTGATCACTGCCATTAACGAAGACACGCTGTGTTCCGTACACCACACCCGATTCTGTACTCCCTTCGGTCCTCTGCCAAAATGACGATTTGGATAGCGCATTTTAGAGCCCCGCTACTCAGCAACCGAGGTTCCAAATTTAATACGGGGTGAATAAATGTTGTCTTGTCATTTCAACCACGACCGCGCGAGGGGGTGTGTAAATGCCAGTGCGCGTGCCAACCACGTCGACGGGAAGAAAGAAAAGAAAAGACAGACAAAAAAGTCAATTCAATGCCCAGAATTCGGGCGCGGGGAGTCGAACCCCGGACTGCGAGTGGATATATCGTCGACAGTATAATAGCCCGCGGTGTGCCGTACACCACACCGATTATTTCGTCCCTTCGTTCCTTCTTTAAGGCGGCGCCGCTGGAGCGAATTTCGCAGCGTAGCCGGGGGCATCGGAAGCGGAAGTTCTAGATGTTCCTGGGTGGATAAATTGTGCAGCATCAGTTCGCATTTTTTTTTTGTAGTGCCGGCCAGCAACAGGGAGCATACACGGTGATTTATGGGGGCCAGTTCCATATCCACTTGCAGCAGCTGAAGGGGTAATATTAGCCGCTACGAAAAAGGGAATCTGGGATATCGACAATTCGGGCGCGGGGAGTCGAACCCCGGTCTGCGCGTTCTTGCAAGGATATGAAGACGCGCGGTGTGCCGTGCACCACACCCGAGCATCTATACCTAGTCTACTCATTCCTTGGATAAGGGAGGCACTTTAGACACTCGGATGGCCACGCGTGCGCACCGGAGTGTGCGCCCCCAGTGCGGAGCGGAGCCGGCGCCGCGAAGCTAGCTGTAAGTATAGGCGTTACGGCCCTGGAAGTTTGGACCCGCTAGCCGCACACCCGGCGCGGAAAGCTCGGAGGCGGGTGGGCATCCCGACGGCTGGGACGGCTGGGGATTCTTCGGGGCTCAGGGGCAGGGGCTTTGCGCGGGAGCAGATGTACGGCGAACGTGCACCGAAGAACGAACACGAGGAGGCGAGGGACGAGGGACGGGAGAGACGAGGGAGGAAAGGGGGGAATGTGGGTTGAGGTATTTGGCATGACTCGCATGCGCCGTGGGGACGAGGCACATATGCAAATGCGAATGCAATCGCGCGATTTGCGAGTGGCTCGAGGTGCGCGCCTGGGACGGCCAGGCACGCGATAATTCACGGCGGGCCCCCGACCGCCGGGATGAGTATAGCTATATCTATCCTCGTGCGCGCCGCAAATGTGAATGCGATGGATTGGCCTCCCTTGCGCCGGAGCCTCCGCGCTGATCTCATGAACTCGCCTCCGCGCCGATCTCGTAAACTCGCACATAAGGCACAATCTCCGGCCCGCGTGCATTAATCATTTGTTAATGGTGTTAATAGCAGGCAATAATCTTGTCTTGATCTTAATCTGGCCTGGATCGCGCGTGTCGGAAGACCAATCCGCATCTGCGTGGAACACGTGGACGTGGACGCCGGACGGGACGGGACGTTTGGGGGCGGTGAGAAATCGCGTGTACGGCCAAGGACAGGGGAATGGGGAGGGAAGGCCGGGATACAGCAGGGGCTTGAAGGCGCACTCATACGGAGCCGTGCCGGGGGTTGGGTTGTGGGCGGGCGCGCGCTGCCCGGGGCGGGGCAGGGGTGGATTTGCGTCGTGCGCGGGACCGCGACCGGGAGCGGAGGTATGCAGATTAGGTGGAGGTATGCAGATTATAGGTGTGCAGATTATTAGATACAGATAGAGCCCGGGCTCGCATTAATTTCGGCGACCAAGGGAAGATGGGGGACAGAGCGGTATTATCTATCTGGTAAGTAAGTCGCCGGGGTTCATGAGAATAGGACACGTACTAGGCTCGAGCACGGTGATATCGATATCATCACGTCACAAGCTATTCGGACGAGAGATAAGATTCGGATTCACGCAGGGGTGTGCATGCGGGGTATCTTCTGGTAATCCTCTTGTGGGGAAACGTGACCAGGGCCGGGAAATCGACGAGCGAGGAGAATAGAATTCGAAGGAGAAGAGCCTTCAAATAAGGGGGAAGGAGAAGAGAGAAGCGGGCGTACGTGGCCGCACGCCACTCGATTCCTCGAGATGACGTATCCAGAATTTGCGGGGTTAGGACGTCCCCGCAACGCAAAGGCGGGGTTCACCGTTAAGGCCTGTTAAGGGTCGAGACGAGTACGAGAGGTCGTCAGCGGCAACGGCGACTAAACGGCGACGAGACAGCGTTAATTAATAAATGTGGCACCACGAGGAGGCGATCAATGGCCGGGGCGTAAGCACGCTTGCGTCACCTTTAATGTCGATCATGTGGAATGCCATAGGGCGCCACTTCGCACGCCGGCGTACTTACCGTCTGCTGTTGTGCGACTTGCACAGCTGCAGTGCGGGAGCCCCCGGTCACTCAGGCCTAACTCGGTCCGCTGGAGGCCCCAAATTTTGGTTGATTTACCTTACGATTTTTGGGCTCGTTGACGTTGATTTACCTTACGTCGGACCGACTTTAGACTGACTTCTGTGCCAAAAATTGGTGCCAGGGCCAATTTCTTTCGCGTTTTTCGCCCCCACTGCCTTCCTATCCGGTTAGGTGCTTCCCCGCCCCCTTGCACACATTCCTCAAGGCGAAGTCCACATTTTGAACACAATTTTGGCCGGCCATTAGGTGCTATGCTCAAAAAATTTCCACAGCCTCCGCTCGATTTACCTTACGACGGACGTACTGTGCACGTCCTGAGCGTTGATTTACCTTACAAAACGGACGTAGACAAGGCAAATTTTGAGCATTGATTTACCTTACAGCGGACCGACTGAGGCCTGAGTGACCGGGGGCCTAGTGCGGGGCTGTCGACGGACCGATGTATGGATGAATTGGGGATCTGCGAGACACACGGATATAGACAGGCGATCAGGTTGGCGAGGCAATGAGTTTGGAAGCTTACGACCAGGCCGGATCAACGCCGGGGTGCAACGGCCTAGTCTCCCGTAGTCAGACCATAAACAAATGAATTTTTTTTTTTAAGTGGGAGGTGGAAAAAAATTGAGCAACGGCCGTTCTGAGACGCATACATATAGCTGTCACCCATCAATTGTCCCCTGCTCGCTCGCCCCACGTACGCTTGCTTGCTTGCCTTCCGCTCGCCTGGTCCTTCGTCTGGTCCTCGACGCCTCCGTTCGAGCGCGGCGAGTCGAACCCCGGACTGCGGGCTAATGTCTGACGCCGAGTATGTATCACTGTATGAATACCTGCTATGTTCCGTACACACCCGAGTATTTGCCCAACCTGTTCATCTGCCAAGTGAGGATTTGAACAGGGTATTTTGTAGTTTTGCTAATCAGAAGCCGAATTCCTGAATCCTATCTCTTCGAGGCTGGTTAAATATAGGTATGCCCCAGGAGCGAAGAACTCCACAGAAGGAAAGCGGAGGGCGCCTTTACGCGGCGTGGCATCGCAGCGAGAGGGATCCAGAGCACATGTACAAGCCGAAAAAAAAAAGAATTCCCAGGCAGAGTTGAACCCCGGACTGCGCGCTATCGGTCGTTCCTATGAAAGGTAACGCACTATGTACCGTACACCACACCCGATTATTTACCCTCTTCTTTCCTTGGTTAAAGCAGGGACTTGAAGCCAAATCTGCAGTGCTGCAATTCAGAAGTTGAGTTTCACCTCGACCCTGGTTGTGCCGCTCCTTCAGCACGACGTTCGAGCGCACGAATCTCGGGTCAGGCAAGCGAGTTTCTCCTATGTTCTTAAAGTCTGGCCCGAGAGAATTCGAGGCTGAGGGGGGAAAAAACGAAAAAAAAAAATGCCGAAACAAGCATTAATTATTCGGGCGCGGGGAGTCGAACCCCGGGCTGCGCGTTGTCATCCGTTGTGTCTGCTCTTCTGCAAGGAAACGCGCGGTGTTCCGTACACCACACCCGACTATTTACCCAGCCTGTTCATCTGCCAAGTGAGCATTAGAAGAGGGCATTTTGCTTGAGGTCAAGTATTTGGTTGAATATAAGTACGTCGCAGGAGCGGAAGAACTCCACACACAGAAGAAAAGCTGACTGACGGGCTGACGGCTGGCATCGCATCCAGAGCAATCGAAGCTACATGTACAAGACGAAAAAAAAAGAAACTCGAAGCAGGATTTATTCGGGCACGGGGAGTCGAACCCCGGACTGCGCGCTAACATTCAAAGGCAATCGATGATATGAAGGGGCGTGATGTGCCGTACACCATACCCGGGTAATCCGGCTGTTCATTCCTTCGTCAAGGCAGGAACTTGGTGAGCAATTTTGGCAGGGGTGCTACATACGTCGCGGATATCCTGGGTGAATAAATTAAAATCTTGTCGCATCCGGTTTTACTGTACTGCAAATTAGCCGTTCGCGGCGTCCTACCGCGAATATAAATGTGAAGGGGTGGAGAGGGCCTTGAGTCTCACCGTGCCTGCAGGATCCCGAATCGAACTTGTCGAGAGAAAGTTCGTAGGATCGAAAAAGAATGAAGTTCCCTCGGCGCATTCGGGTGCGGGGAGTCGAACCCCGGACTGCGCGTTATCACCTGTCATTCTTGAAAGGAAACGCGCTATGTACCGTACACCACACCCGACTATTTCGTTCTGTACACCCTCGCCAAACGAGGCACCTGAAGAGCAATTTTTGGCATTGGTGCTAATCAGAAGCCGAGTTCCTGAATCCTGTATCTCTTCGAGGCTGGTTAAATATAGGTATGCCCCAGGCCCAGGAGCGAAGAACTCGACAGAAGGAAACAGCGCTGACGCGAATCCATCCAGAGCACATGTACAAGCCGAAAAAAAAAAGAATTCCCAGGCAGGTTTTATTCGGGCGCGGGCAGTCGAACCCCGGACTGCGCGTTATCGGTCGTTCCTATGAAAGGTAACGCGCTATGTACCGTACACCACACCCGAGTACTTACCCTGTGCGTGCCTCGGTTAAGGCAGGGACTTTGAAGCTGATTTCGCAATGCTGCAATTCAGAAGTTGCGTTTCCCTCGACCCGGGTTGAGCCCGGGCCGTTCCACCAGCCCGAAGTTCGAGCGCACGAATTTCGGGGCGAGCAATTGCAAAGTGCATGTCTCCTAGCGTCCCAAGTGCAACGCCCGGCCCGCAGAGAATCAGACTCTGAAAAACCAAATGTAAAAATAAAATAAAATCGTCTTTGCTCAATGGTCATTCGGGCGCGGGGAGTCGAACCCCGGGCTGCGCGCTGACGCTACTAGTTTTCCTCAGTGAAGAAGGCGCGCGGTGTTCCGTCCACCACACCCGAATATCTACCCTGTTCAGTCCTTGGCTAAGTGAGGATTTGGACAGGGAATTTTTCCGCAACTGCTCCGGATCCTCAGCCGGCGAGCCCCGAGATTCCTGTGATGTCGGTTGAATGAACATTTTCCTGAGTGACCTAGGAGACAGAAAAAGAAGAGCATGACGCAACGCTGTGGGAGCTCCATGGCCAGGAACCGACCTCTGAAGAGAGCAAAAAAAAAAATGCTGCGCCAGGCTCATTCGGGCGCGGGGAGTCGAACCCCGGACTGCGCGCTATCGCTTAACACTCAACGTCGCTCAGTAAAGCAGACGCGCAGTGTTCCGTACACCACACCCGAGCACTTACCCTCCCCGTCTCCTTGCCAACTGAGGATTTAGGTAGGACATTTTCTGAATTTATTATTTAGAACCCCGTTTTTCGAGGCTAGTTGAATAAGTTTCGCAGCGCAGCACCTACATCTCTTGAAGCGAAGGACTGGACGGGGCGGGAAACGGCCGTTGGACTGGCATGCATCGCATCGGGAGGGATTGGCGCGAAAAATATCAATGGCGTGCACCATTATTCGGGCGCGGGGAGTCGAACCCCTGGAGAAAAAAAGCGTTTTACTGCATTACTCCATTCGGGCGCGGGGAGTCGAACCCCGGCCTGCGCATGTGCACTCCCCTTCTTATCGATACCAAGAAGACGTGCGGTGTTCCGTACACCACACCCGAGTCCTTCCCCTCCTCGTCCCTTGGTGAAACCCGGGCCTTGGAGCGCGATTTTGGCTGTGGTGCAGCGTTAACTCAGAAGCCGAGGTCAACGAATTTCCGCGGTGCAGGAAGGCAGACGGACCTCCCCGCTTCGTGATCGCGTTCAAGTTCGCAGGACGTGCGAGGGGCGAGACACCTCCTCCCTGCCCGCTCTGTCCTCCCTCACAACACCCACTCCTTAAAAAAAAAAAAAACGAAGAAAAATATATATAATAAAAAAAACTCCAATCTACTCTCCTCTCCTCGTCGTCGAAAAATAGCATAAAGATAGCGCAAGGTCCGTTCCCCCTTCTTCCTCCTTCCTTTCCCCTGCTCCCCCCGCCCACTCCGTCTCCCAAACCCACTCCACCCCCACCCCCACTTCCGCCCCGTCCGCCCCAACGAGGGCGGACACAGGGCGGGCATCGTCGTTAGATTTAGATTCGCGTACAATAAATTCGTCTTCATCTCCTCATCATATCTCGTTTTCTTTATCATTTGTGCATTTGTGTATTTGGTTATTTGTTTGGTTTGTGTTGGTGTGGGCCGGGGCGGGCGTCATACAGGCGGCGCGGACGCGCGCCGTGCGGAGGGCGGGGACGGGCGGCGGTATGTCTGCGCGGGGGTGGGTTAGTAAGGCTGAATGATAAGATAGAAGAGAGGAGGACGGGGGCAGGGACGGGGCGGGGTAACATCGGAACATCGGAGCGCGGAGGGTGGAGGTAGGGTGCACGGAAGAAAACGAAGGCGGGGGAACGGAGCAAGGGAGAAGGGCAGCAAAATGAAGCCCGTGCGAGGGGTGCGAAAGGAAGACGAGAAGCAAGGGATGGAGGAACGACCAGATGATGAGATGACGCGATGACGCCGGCCGAGCCAAAAAAAAAAGATGATGCGATGCGGTGATGGTGGAGTGCCACGTCACCGCTCTCTGACGGTGGAATGGAGCACGACGGGGAGGACGGGGACGGGGACGGGGAGGACGGGAGGGGATTAATGGATAATGAATACATAGGAGGGTGGAGGTGCGGACGGAGTGCGGAGCGATAAGGATATGGACGGGTGGGTGATAGAGTACATGGTGGCGCCCGTCCTCCCTGCGCCCGGGGACGGGGACTAGGATACATGGAGGATGCACGATACGCGGAAGGAGTGCGGGGGAGCGGCGCAGGGTAGGGATAGATGGACGTGCGGGCGGGTGCGATAAAGATAAAGATAGCGGCAGACAGACAGACAGGAACAGGCGCGAACGTGCGGGACGAGAGCGGTACGGGGGGAGAGTGGGGCGCGATAAGGAGTGCAGGACGTAGGATGGATGGGCGGAAGGCAATGTGGCGCCACGATAAGGGGACAGGACAAGGACAGGGCAGGACAGGAGACGCCGGGCGGATGCAAAGCGGAAGCTCCTCGAATGAAGGAAAGGAGGGACGGGAGGGAGAGGAGGACAGAGGGAAGCAAAACAAGGAGAGAATACGCACATGGCGGCTCATGATCATCTTGGCCATCGACGCGGGCGTCTGGCACTCGTACAGCGCCGGCACTGCATCCAACTCTTCTCAGTAACCTCGTAACACTCGAGACGAGAAGGAAACGTACGCGGGGCGTCGACGGCAAGCGCGGACAGGGTGGGCTCGGGGCGCCGGACAGGGCCTGCGCGCGCGACGGGCGTCGCCGTGCGTGGCGGCGCTTGGGGCTGTGTCTGTGCCATTGCGGGTGTCGGTGCGGGTGCGGGTGCGGGCTTCGTCATCGGTGCGGGTGCAGGGACCAAGGGGAGGGTCTCCCACGCGAGGGACGGGAGCCACCTGCGCGGGGCCTTCTCCTGCTTCACGGCGGCGGCGGCCACGGCGACGTGCTTGTCGGCGACGGGGAGGGCGAGGCGGCGGCGTGCGGCGGCGGCGAGGGCGAGGGCGGCGCGGAGGACGGCGAGCACGAGGAGCGCGGCGACGAGCGCGAGCGGGGTGCGCCACGTCTGCAGCGGCGGCAGGCCCAGGCGCCATGCGGGCGCGGGCGGGGCGGTGGCGAAGGGCTGCGCGTGCGCGGGGAGGATGAACATCGCGGCGGCGGCGGGGGCGTCGAGGACCAGACGAAGGACCAGGCGAGCGGAAGGCAAGCAAGCAAGCGTACGTGGGGCGAGCGAGCAGGGCACAATTGATGCGTGACAGCTATATGTATCCGTCGCAGTACGGCCGTTGCACCCCGGCGTTGATCCGGCCTCGTCGTAAGCTTCTCCACTCATTGCCTCGCCAACCTGATCGCCTGTCTACATCCGTGTGTCTCGCAGATCCCCCATTCATTCGTCCATACATCGGTCCCTCGACAGCCCCGCACTGGCGCTGTGCAACTCGCACAACAGCAGAACGATAAGCACGCCGGCGTGCGAAGTGGCGCCTGTTTCGGCGTTTCACTGCACATGATCGACATTAAAGGTGACGCAAGCGTGCTTACGCGCCGGCCATTGATCGCCTCCTCGTGGTGCCACATTCTCATTAATTAACGCTGTCGTCCTCGTCGCCGTTTAGTCGCCGTTGCCGTTGACAACCTCGAAAGCTCGAGATTCTGTCTGGGCTTGACAATAAGAGCGACAGACGACGTCCCCACCGCGCAAATTCCGGATACGTCACCTCGAGGAAGTCGAAATCGAATGGCGTACGTGCGGCCACGTACGCCCGCTTCTCCTTCCCCTTCTCCACTACTTCTCCTTACTTCTCCTGCTTCGAATTGCCCTGGTCACTCGTCGATTTACCGGCCCTGGTCACGTTTCCCATAAGATATGATTACCAGGCTGTCATTCATTCATGATTACCAGAAGATACCCCGCATGCACTAGAATCTGGCGAATCCGAATCTTATCTCTCGTGACGTGCCGCATTGGTATTCCGGGTGCTCTACGTGTCCTGCTCTCGTTCTCGTGAACGGCGTCCTCGTGAGCCCTAGGAATTGCCGACGCATAATAATCCGCACCTCGTCCAATCCAATTGCCGAGTCCTCTCCGCACCGTTCTCGTGTCGTCGGACGATTGCCATCTCCGCGCTCATCTCGTGAACACCGCACATAAGGCGTCGAATCTCCGGGCCGAGTGCATGAAGCATCAGACAATAATCTGGTCTTAATCTCCTCTTAATCGATTAATCGCACCGGATCCGGAAAACCAATGCACGTCGGCCTATAACTTATGTAGCTATAACAAAACTCCTCCGGGCCTCCGTAAATCCACCCCCACCCGCGTACCTGGCCGGCCCTCGAGCTAATCGTAAATCGTGCGATTCTGATAGTGAGACGAGGCACACAAGCGTGCGAGTCCCGCCATATGCCTTTCCTTCCCCTGTGCACATCTGTACGCACGCCCGTTCCCCACAAGCCAAGCCAGACGATATCCCGCACGCCCATCCGTCTGCTCATCCCTCCCTTCTCCCGTGCGTCCGAATTGCGCGATCGCTTTTTGGTCGCCGTTGCCGCTGCCGTTGACATCTGGCGTCCAGACTCTGAATCGAGAGCTCTTAACCGCGCAAATACCAATACCAATGCCGTGAGGGAACGACGGCTCGAGGAATCCAAATCGAATGGCGTGCGTGCGGCCACGTACGCCCGCTTCTCTTCTCCTTCCCCTTACATACTTCTCCTGGGTCGAAATTAATACTCTCCTGGCGTCGATTAAGATTTCCCGGCCCTGATCACGTTACCCCACAACACCAGGAGATACCCCACACACACAATCTTATCACTCCCTTCTCTCGTGCTGGTGACGTGATGATATCGATATCGCCGTGCTCGAGCCTACATAGTACGTGTCCGGGTCCTGTTCTCGTGCGCCCTCAGAATATCCGGCGACCTATCAGATAATACCGCTCTATTCTCGCTTCGCCCGCCCCGAAATTAATGCGAGCCTGGGCTGTGTCTGATAGTAATAGTCTGCACCGGTCCCGCGCACGGCGAAGATCCACCTCTTCCCCGCGCACAAGCCAATCCCCATCCCCTGCGCGATGTACGCGTACGCAACCTTCCTCCGTGCGAGTGCGACTTGAAGCTAGCACGCCCCTATGTATCACGGCCTTCGCATCCCCCTGTCCCTGTCCTTGGCCGTACGAACGCTCATGGGCGACTCGAATTTCTCATGGCCGCCGAACATACAGTACTTACCGTGACACCCGTCGTCCGGCATCTGCCTGTTCTAATACTATCCTCGTGCGCGCCTCAAATGTGAATATTAATGTGACGGCCTCCCTTGCGCCGGATCTCGTCAACCCGCACATAACGCGTCGAATCTCCGGGCCGCGCGCATTAATGGTAGGCGATAATATTAATCTTGTCTTGATCTTAATCGCGCCGAAAACAGCGTCGGCCTATATGCCTCGGAATCCGGTCGCAGGCCCGCGCCCAGCGTAAACCCACCCCTTTCATGCCGTCGTCCCTCGCCGCACCACTCGCAAATCGCGCGATTGCATTTGCATCTTCGTCCCCACGGCGCATGCGAGTGCGAACTGATCATAAAGCCCCGCCTCCCATTCTCCTCCTTCCTCCCTCGCCCATGGGCCATACTGGTATTCTCGTGCCCGTCCCTTGCGCTCGTGCCCGTCCCTTGTGTTCCCTTTCGCGGGCTCGAGTGCTGGTGCACGTTCCCGCGCAAAGCCCCTGAGCCCTGAGCGCCGAAGAATCCCCAGCCGTCCCAGCCGTCGGGATGCCCACCCGCCTCCCGGGGCGTGCGGCCAGCGGGCCCAAACTTCCAACGCCATAACGCCTATACTTACAGCCGGGCGCGCACGCGTGCACAGGGGCCATAATACTCAAAGCTGGGACTGGCCATCCGAGTGTCTAAAGTGCCTACCTTATCCAAGGAACGGACGGGTGAAATAATTGGGTGTGGTGTACGGCACACCGCGCGTCTCCTTAATTTGTCTGTGGGACGATTGTACGCGCGCAGTCCGGGGTTCGACTCCCCGCGCCCGGATTGTCGATATCCCAGATTCCCTTGTTCGTAGCGGCTAATATTGCCCCTCCAACTGCTGCAAGTGGATATGGAAGCAGCCCATAAATCACCGTGTATGCTCCCTAGAGCTCCGGCGCTACAAAGAAAAATGCGAACTGCTGCTGCACAATTTATTCACGCAGGCGGACATCCGGAACGTCCGTTGCACGGCTTCAAGTCTCGATTTCTTTTTCTTTTTTTGAGGCGCATTTCTCGCACAAATGACCCGCCGACTCCCTGCCTTTGGTGAAGAAGGGAATAGATCAAGTACTCGGGTGTGGTGTACAGAGCACCGCGCGTCTTCTTAGGTCGGAGTTCTTTGAATGTAGCGCGCAGTCCGGGGTTCGACTCCCCGCACCCGAATGGCTTGTACATCATGATTTTTTGCTTATTTCGATTCGCGGTATCAGATTATTACATTCCTCCAGCTCTGCGAGTACATGTGGGCCTCGCCCCCAATTCACCGTTAATCCCCTCTGTCGCTGGCCGGCGCTGCACATAGTTGGAACTGATGCTGCCCATATCCACCCAGGAACATCCGGACTTCCGCTTCCGATGCCCCCGGCTACGCTGCGAAATTCGCTCCAGCGGCGCCGCCTTAAAGAAGGGGTGAGCTGGTGAAATAGGCGGGTGTGGTGTACGCCACACCGCGGGCTATTATACTGTCGACGACATATCCACTCGCAGTCCGGGGTTCGACTCCCCGCGCCCGAATAAGGCCTGCCTGGGAATTCCTTGTTTTTTTTTTTCGTCTTGTATATGTGCTCTGGATCCCTCTCGCTGCGATGCCGCCCTCCGCTTTCCTTCTGTGCGTGGAGTCCTTCGGTCCTGCGGCATATCTATATTCATCCAAATATCTTGACCTCAGCTTCGGGGTAGCAAAACTACAAAATGCCCTGTTCAAATGCTCACTTGGTAAGGGGACAAGCAGGGTAAAGAATGGGGTGTGGTGTATGGTACACCGCGCGGCTTCATATCGTCGATTCAGATTGCCTTTGCATGTTAGCGCGCAGCCCGCCCGCACCCGAATATCGGAATAATGCCTGTTTCCTTTTTTTTTTTTTCCGGCTTGTACATGTGCTCTGGATCCCTCTCGCTGCGATGCCAGCCCTCAGCTCATCAGCTTTCCTTCTATCGAGTTTTTCGGACCTGCGACATATTTATATTTAACCAGCCTCGAAGAGATGCAGGATTCAGGAACTCGGCTTCTGATTAGCACCACTGCGGTCAAAATTGCTCTTCAGGTGCCTCGTTTGGCAAGGGGTGCACAGAACGAAATAATCGGGTGTGGTGTACGGTACACCGCGGGCCTCCTTGTTGAACATTTCCTGAAAGGCTGCCCGGCAGTCCGGGGTTCGACTCCCCGCGCCCGAATGATGGCCTCATCGCGGCCAACTTTTCTCTCTGTGCATTGAGGCGTTCAGCCCTACCATAGCCTGGGATTATGCTCCCCTTCACGCGGTCTTAATTTGTCCGTCCGAGAAATGACGCGACAAATGTATTCACCTTGGAAACTCTAACCTCGGGTTTTGGGTTGTAGGGCCCTAAAACTCCCTTCGAATCCTCACTTCGCACAAGCAGGGTAATTATTCGGGTACATGTACGGAACACCGTGCGCCTAAGCTTCTGTTGGAAAGAAATATGACTTTGACTGTCAGGCGAAATACACGATGAACGAAAATGAAGTACATTGATATTCCAGGGATCGAAACAAAGACCAACTTAGACACCCAGATGAATAAATGGAATCCAGCGCTCGTAAGGAATGTGTCTGGCCTTCAGCTCTTTCACTGCCAGCTGTAATGCCTCTGCTGCATCATTGGCGCTGGGCTGATGTCCACCTCGGAACAGATGGGAATATACAATCTCTGCAATCAGCGGTCCATCTTGGTCATTCATGGACCACAAAGTCCCGATAGCACCTTGGAATCCTGCAGCAATGAAACCTCCGCCAAGGTGAAATGACTCATTCTCAAGTTCAGTGTCACCCATCACTGTCTCACATGCAGCAAGGAACACAAACTCTGCATTCGAGAGTGGCATCCGAAGGATTGTGTCCAACTCCAGGATGCCTCCATAGAGCCGGAGATGGCTTTTGGTGGGTTCAAATAAATCTTGTTTCCCGTGACAGGCCAAGTGAGCCCAAGAACACTCCTGCAGCTGGTGCTTTACTGCCTCTGCTGTAGCCTGTTCCCCTTGAAGGCACTCCACAGGGCAGCTAGCAATACGCAAGATATGTTCAACTTCCTCCTTTACTCCTTTGAGAGAGTTTGCTACGCTAGGGCCCGTATGTGTAACCCCGACAATGCCGAGCTTGGGTGCAGAGTTGGATGATTTCTTGGTGTAGGCATTCACAAGAGATCCTAGTGTCGGTGTGTATGAATGGATAAATTCATCGGTCGGAGGGCATGCATGCAAGGGGAGTCCTGTAAAAGCCCCAGTTGAGAGCCACCATAGCCTGCCATGATCAATGCCATGCTATAATTCGGATGTGTTAGTTTTAGAGAAACAAATGGCTAAGATGGCTTGACTAACTTTTTCTAAAGCTTGATAGACAGGACAAACAACATGAGTCCAGAGCCAAGTCAATAGATCTGCCCAACATTCCTCGAGAGTTTTGGATGTGCCAAACCATTCCTGGCGGCCAAAGAGTCTGGATGATGTGGACTCTCCTCTACTTCTGACATTGAATTGACCAAGCAGGGCCTTGAGAATTTCCCGTTGTGACTGCAGCATACCAAGAGTTACACTGGGAAGTGGAAGATGAACTGGCATTGAAGTGGAATTAAGAATCATGATCCCATCACATTCATGTTTGTGACTGTTCAGAATTATAACAGGTCCCCCATGTGCTGCACGTTGAAGAGCATCATATGGTTTAGGTTGTAGGAAGTATTTTAGACCTGGCTGTGTGCACGAATATCTTCTAATAGGTTATGTCTTTCATTTGCAATACTTCTTGGATCAGCAGATGTTCCACTGTACAGCTCATATGAAAGTCTGCGCAAACTATCTGCATGATCAGGACGGAGATTCTCAACATTGGGCTTCAGCTCAAGAATTTGCTGCAATGTGGTGGATAATCCTTGCTCCATTACTTCGACAGCAGAGGTGAGCTTTGAAAGATCAATATATGCCTTGACAGCCCTTGAAGTGACTTGTCCTACATCAAGTCTGCGGATGGCATCCTGGCGTATAGGAATGGAGTTTCCAATCCAAATAATCTCGGGAAGAAGATGAAAGGCAGCCATGTATGCAGATAAACTGTCTGCAGGTTGCCACTGTTCTGCGAATGAAGCCCAGTGAAGTGCTGCTTTCCAGGATGACTCCGGAGTAGCTGTTGGTCTGCTGAATGAGGCGTTGTAATAAGCCTTCACAGCCTCAAGGTCTTTCAGCTCCCTCAGTTGTTTATATCGATCTGCAGAACACAATGCAAGACCATGCATGCACCCCACACATTCAGGATGATCATCTGGGAGCAGATCCAAAGCTCTCTGATAATTCTCCAGTGCAGCTTCAAGATCGAAAAGGTCCCCAACTGCCTCATATCTGGTTTGGAAAGATTCAGCTAGATGCTGTAGACGCATAGCTTTGGCGGGATGTTCATTGGGTGTCAGACCCACAACTTCTTGGGCTATCTGTAATGCAGTCTCTAGGTCATTCAGGTCCCTAAACCTCTGATATTTCTCTCCAAGCATTACTGCAAGGCTTTGAAGATGGGCAACTCGATCAGAGTGTTTAACTGGAGTTTCATTCAGGAGAGCTTGAAAATTCTGTAAAGCAGCAGTGGGGTCAATAAAATCACCCAACCTCTGATATCGATCTCGAAAGGCAAGGTCTTGCAAAGGTGGCTCAAGGGCGAGTTCTATGGCAGCCTGATGGCTGTCCTGAGCCGCTCCCAGATCTTTCAAGTTTCCCAGCCTCTGGTACAGAAGTGTGAAACACACTGCAAGGTTTTGCAAACACCTTGCTTTGCTGTTGTGCCCTTCTGGCATTAGTCCCAGTGCTTCTTGAAAGTTCTGCAGGGCATTCTCCAGGTCTCGAAGTTCTCCCAGCATTTGATACCGATATCCAATGATGTAGCAAGATCTCGCAACCGGTCAGATCTTCCAGGATCATCATTTCGGGTCAGGTTTAAAGCTGCCTGACTGTTCTGCAGTGAGGCCTGTAGATCATCCAAGTCCCCCAAACTCTTGAATTTTCTTATCAAGGCTTGCCCCAGCAATTCATGATATATAGAAAGATAGGGATGTTCTGAGGGTGTCTGTTCCACAAGCAGTTTGAGCCCGTCAAATAAATCTGGATTCTCCCAGTCCTAGTACCATAGTTAAAAATTGGGATTAATCCATATTTGCATCCAACAGCATGTGCTCACCAAGCCCCGGGAGCTCTGACTCCTGTCCTCGGCTTGTGTATACATTGTAGAACTGTCGAGAGGGAGGTATGATGGTTGATTGATATGTTCCTCCATCTTCTTATATTGGTGTCCTCGATATTTATAGAACTGTCAACGTTAGTGGTTGCGAACACTTGCCACTGATTAATGCAACGAACCGAAGCTTAGCGGAGACAAACCCCGTCGTGCGCGGGCTAAGTGCTCGGGTCAATCCGGACTACTATGATAGTGGTTGGCCGGCAAGCGGCGGGGCACAAACAGAATATAGCTGAAAAAAATTAAGTGAGAAGAGGGACTTATTATTTTTACTTTTTCAGTGTAGGAAGCTGAACAATCAAATGTGAACCGGTGAGACGGTGATAAACAGCACTTTAGGACTCAATGTGGTGCAAATGTGATTTCGAGGGTAATATAAGTAATGAACCGTGGTGTAAATCCCAGAATCCTGGTTTCCAAGATCTTTCCCAACATCAATTGGTCGTATGTTGACTCAGTGACTCTTGAGCAACTAGAGTTGAGAGCATTGATGAGGCATTGTAACAATACGGGTTTTTATTTCAATGCATTGGGTACTATCAGTGAGGACAAACACGAAAAAGAACAAAAAAAAGGAAGGAGGGAGGGAGACTTCAAGAGAACTCATATCAGTCACAGAAATTCACATTCAGCATCAATAATATGGAAGTTACGATACATCCCAGATATGTACAATCAGAAGGCAAAGTGTCTTGCAATCAGTATTAAAAATTGACAGGCTTGAAACAGCGGCCAAATGCTTTCACCTGACTGTCAAGTCATTACTTGCACGGTCCAGGTGGTAACACGAGCACATCGCCTGTTACTGGCATACATCGCGTCAGGAGCCCGTGTCTGTCGTAGTCGAGACAATGCACACCCACAGGAGATTCTGTGGAGTCGAAAGACAAAGAATCATGGGAGGGGAGATATTATTTCTCTCCCTGTGGTTCTGTAAATTCACGGTGTTGTTGGTGAACATCTACCAAACAAAATCCCAAGATGTACGATGTTAGCAAAACCAGATGCACGCAAAGGAGATGGACACATGCACAGCGAAGTGATGGAATCGTCTAGGCCCTGGGTACTGATTGGATAACCCGCAGGTGATATTGCTGTTCCAGTTCGCAAGATTGGCAAAAGGATCAAAATGAGATGGCCAGACTTGCAAAAGTTGCAAAGGAAACCCAGACAGAGTGGGGCCATTAATTAGAGAACCAAATTGGAGCCCTAAGTTGTTCTTCTTAAGTCCAAGGCCTTGTTGCAGCGACGAGACGAGTGGGCAAAATGTTTCGGGGATGCTGTATCACATCATCTGCCGAGTTTATACCGGCTACTAGTAGTTTTTTCAGCAGTTCAGGGTATCGGGGGTCGATAAGACGACCTAGGGGAGGTGAATATGTAGGAATGGGCATATCTTGACCCCAGAGGCTGACCGAGCAGGCGCAGGCACACGGTCGTCATCCAAGTTATTGTAGCCTAATTCACTTGAAGTGCCGAGGAAGGTTGTTTGAACCCGATTTTTACGGCCACTACATGTAGAATTGCTCGAGTGCAGCCCTTGACAAGTTGAGGGTGCTGGTGTGGAGTCCAGTGTGCTAGCGGGCGAGCAGGAGTGGGACGAGAGTGGGATGGTCCGAGTTGATAACCGCGTGATGTCAGCAACAGGTTATCGACCATGTTATCGTCCATTAGCACAATTCGAGAGTTTCCGGAGGTATTTAATATCCTGAGTCTACAGATCTCTTCCAAACCATTCAGGATTCATCTAGGATTCTTTGTGTGATTAAAAATGGCCTCCAAGGACTTCTGGGCAGTGATTTGTTGCAGAAGTGGCCGATAACAACCCAGTTGATCGGAACATGAATCACAATGTGAGAGGCAATATCGATAGCTGGCATTCTGGTGAATGATTCTGAGACAAAATTGGATTAGAAGGTGCCCAGCGGAAAGAATGAGTAGAACATGTAAACTCCGCCTTCCGCCGCAAAATTGATAGGAGCCGTGGGCATCCTGAAGGCCCGGATCAAATTATAGTCGGCGGAATGGGCAATGCCGTGAAGATGCCGTAGATCCGTGCATGGCGGCGACCCTACAAGTTCGGAACTATCTAGAAGTGAACAGATTTTTGAAACTATAAATATGGGGACAATGGCCAATTTGTCCAGGAAATCACTCATAATTTTGAGGCATTCCACCTGTTGGGAGAAGCTGAGTTACCCCGCGTCGGCGAAGACGGCATGTGCACGTGCAGTGCGTGATTACATAAGCCGAATCCGAGACATTTTCGGTACTCTGAGCCCAACCAGAGACTTTGTCTCTGTTTGTGAAACTCCAATTGGGAATAGGATCAAATCTGTCCCCGCGCCCGAATGACTGGTGTATCCGTGATTTATTTATTTATTTCGTTTCGCGGGATCAGAGTATTACCTTCCTTCCAGCTGCTGCGAGTAGATATGGACAGCCCACAACTCACCGTGTATGTCCTCTAGAGGTCCGGCGCTCCAAAAAAAAAATTGAACTGATACTGCCCAATTTATTCACCCAGGAACATTCCGACCGAGGTCCCCGGCTACGCTGCGAAATTCGCTCCAGAGGCGCTGCCTTAAAGAAGGGGCGAGCTGGTGAAATAGGCGGGTGTGGTGTACGGCACACAGCGGGTTATTATACTGTCGACGATATATTCACTCGCAGTCCGGGGTTCGACTCCCCGCGCCCGAATTTATGGTACCCCTTGAATTTTTTTTTCTCGTAACCCCACTCGAGATTGGACCGTACTCTGTTGTCTTAGAACGCTTGCTGCAAAGGAATTCAATGAGCGACCACAGAAATGCCGATACTTAGTAGCACCGGTACAAAAAAAAAATTCGCGCGAGATTCGTCAAGCGTGCCTCACTTACTTGAGGAATGAACAGGATCAATACTCGGGTGTGGTGTTCGGAACACTGCGCGGTCTTCTTTCACGCTTTCTCTTGCTTGATAGCCCGCAGTCCGGGGTTCGACTCCCCGCGCCCGAATTCAGGGAATTGAATTGACTTTTTCTTTCTTTTTCTTCTTCATCCCTTCGACGTTGACGCGCGCACTGCCATTTACATGCCCCCTCGCGAGGTCCTGATTCGGCTCTTCCAAGAAATGACGCGACCACATTTATTCACCCCCAAATTTGGAACCTCGGTTGCTCAGTTGCAGGGCTCTAAGATGCGCTATCCAAATCGTCACTTGGCAGAGGACCGAAGAGAGTACAGAATCGGGTGTGGTGTACGGAACACCGCGCGTCTCCATACCGAAGATCTCTGGCACCGGTGGCGCGCAGTCCGGGGTTCGACTCCCCGCGCCCGATTTCGACCTGGATGAAGACTTTTTCTCTCTTCGGCATTACTGAACCACAGTCTTGTCCCTTTCCACAGATCCAACTTGGTATTTATACTCCCCGTCGCGCGGGCCTAATTTGTCCGTCCGAGAAATGACGCGACCAAATTTATTCACCCAGTGGAAATTCGGTTGCTGAATACCAGCGCTAGGAAATGCCCAGTTCGCGTCCGTACATACTTGGCGAGGGGACAAGCAGGGGAAATAATCGGGTGTGGTGTACGGCACACTGCGCGCCTTCTTAAGTCCGAATAAATGGTCAATGACAGCGCGCAGTCCGGGGTTCGACTCCCCGCGGCCGAATGGAATAATGCAGTAAAACGCTTTTTGCTCGTCTTCAAATTCGACTCGGCGCACGGCACCCTCCGCTAGCCGGTTCATTACTTATACTCGGACGCTGTCTTCAAAACCTGATGCAGCAGCTTGAAGATTTATTCACCCACTGGAAAAGCGGTTGCTGAATACCAGCCCTAGGAAATGCCCACTGGCAGTTTGCGTCCTCACTTGGCAAGGGGACAAGCAGGGTAAATAATCGGGTGTGGTGTACGGAACACCGCGCGTTTCCTTGGAGAAGACACGGCGAATGATAACGCGCAGTCCGGGGTTCGACTCCCCGCACTCGAATTCTGTCTCCAGGTTCCAATGCGTTTTCTTCTGAAAACAAAACAAAACCAAAAAGCTTCAGAATCTCTTGTCCCCGGCCGGCGTTCGGACTGTTTCCCCGCAAGTCGTTCGACGCGCCGCTCTCGAATGGTCGGAAGGACAGATTTTTTTTGTCCTCGCATGGCATTTCCTCTGACTTCGAATTGTGGATCCTGGGGGCCCGCGGCTTGCACCTGAAACGCGTGGCTTCGCGTTCATTTTTTTTTTCTTTTCCTAGGTCACCGCAAAAGTCATTCAACCAACATCACAAGAATCTCGAAGCTCCCCGTTGAGTTGCATCCCTGCCAAAGTTGCGCTCTAAGTCCCTCGCCTAATCAAAGGACGAACAGGCTAAAGGATCGGGTGTGGTGTATGGAACACCGTGCGTCTTCCTTGCTGAGTACTAGTAAGGCAATAGCGCACAGCCCGGGGTTCGACTCCCCGCGCCCGAAATCTGGACATTGAAATGACTTTTTTTCTTTTCTTTTTTTCTTCCCTTCGACGTTGTTGGCGCGCGCACTGGCACTTACACGCCCCCTCGCGCGGTCTTGATTCGGTTCTTCCAAGAAATAACGCGACAACATTTAGTCACCCCGCAGATTTGGAACCTCGGTTGCTGAGTATACGTAGCAGGGCTCTAAGATGCGCTATCCAAATCGTCACTTGGCAGAGGACCAAAGAGAGCAAAGAATCGGGTGTGGTGTACGGAACACCGCGCGTCTGCTTTACTGGGCGATATTGAGTGTTAAGCGATAGCGCGCAGCCCGGGGTTCGACTCCCCGCGCTCGAATATCGGAATAATGCCTGTTTCCTTTTCTTTTTTTTTTGTTTCCGGCTTGTAAATGTGCTCTGGATCCCTCTCGCTGCGATGCCAGCCCTCAGCTCATCAGCTTTCCTTCTATCGAGTTTTTCGGACCTGCGACATATTTATCTTTAACCAGTCTCGAAGAGATGCAGGATTCAGGAACTCGGCTTCTGATTAGCACCAATGCCAAAAATTGCTCTTCAGGTGCCTCGTTTGGCAAGGGGTGCACAGAACGAAATAGTCGGGTGTGGTGTACGGGACACCGCGCGTCTCCGTAACGAAAATGTCTGACACTGATGCCGCGCAGTCCGGGGTTCGACTCCCCGCACCCGAATTGTAGGCGTTGAATAAAACTTTTTTTTCTCGCCTTCAAATTCGACTACGTGCTCGGTACTCTCCTCGGCCCTCCGCTAGCCGGGCCATAACTCACATGCTCGGGCGCGGCGGGACGCTCCCAACGTAAGTCTAAGGCTACAAAATTTATTGACCGAGGAAATTCGGAACCTCGGCGTCTGACTGGCGGTGCTGCAAAGCTGCCCCTTGAATCGCCCTGCCTTGACCAAGGACCGAGGAGGGTAATTATTCGGGTGTGGTGTATGGAACACCGCGGGCCTGTTGAACATTTCCTGAAAGGCTGACCAGCAGTCCGGGGTTCGACTCCCCGCACCCGAATAAGGCCCGCTTCGGATTTTTTTTCTATTTCTTTTCGGGTTGTATTGTAGCTTCGGTTGCTCTGGATTCGATGCCAGCCTTCAGCTCGTCGGTCAGCTTTCCTTCTGTCGAGTTCTTCGCTCCTGCGGCATAATTATATTCATCCAAATACCTTGACCTCAGAGGCTTCGGAGTAGCGAAACTACAAAATGCCCTGTTCAAATGCTCACTTGGCAAGGGGACAAGCAGGGTAAGTACTCGGGTGTGGTGTGCGGCACATTGCGCGCCTTCATTTGCGAGTCCTGTAAGTTGAAGTGCTCAGTCCGGGGTTCGACTCCCCGCGCCCGAATGGAGTAATGCAGTAAAACGCTTTTTGCTCGTCTTCAAATTCGACTCGGCGCACGGCACCCTCCGCTAGCCGGTTCATTACTTATACTCGGATGCTGTCTTCAAAACCTGATGCAGCAGCTTGAAGATTTATTCACCAACTGGAAAAGCGGTTGCTGAATACCAGCCCTAGGAAATGCCCACTGGCAGTTCGCGTCCTCACTTGGCAAGGGGACAAGCAGGGTAAAGAATCGGGTGTGGTGTACGGAACATCGCGCGTCTGCTTTACTGAGCAATGAGTGTTAAGCGATAGCGCGCAGTCCGGGGTTCGACTCCCCGCGCCCGAATAAGGCCTGCCTGGGAATTCTTTTTTTTTTCGGCTTGTACATGGAGCATTGACTGCTCTGGATTCGATGCCAGCCCTCAGCTCGTCAGCGCTCTTTCCTTCGGTGTGTGGAGCTCTTCGCTCCTGCGGCATACCTATATTCAACCAGCCTCGAAAAGGTAGGACTCAGGAACTCGGCTTCCGATTAGCAAAACTACAAAATGCCCTATCCAAGTCCTCACTTGGCAAGGGGACAGGCAGGGTAAGTACTCGGGTGTGGTGTACGGCACACAGCGCGTCTCGGTACTGCAACTATAATTTCGCGTCAGCGCGCAGGCCGGGGTTCGACTCCCCGCGCCCGAATCAGACCTGCCATGTTTCGGGGTCCTTTTTTTTCCGGCTTGTATATGTGCTCTGGATTCGATGCCAGCCCTCAGCTCGTCAGCTTTCCTTCTGTGGGTGGAGTTCTTCCGCGCCTGGAGCATACCTATATTCAACCAGCATTCCAGAAATGGAGAAACTCCCCGTCTGAGGAGCAGTTGCGGCAAAATGCCCCGTGGAAATCCTCACTTGACAAGGGAACAAGCAGGGTAAAGAATCGGGTATGGTGTACGGAACACCACGCGTCTTGGTAGTTTGTCGATAGTAGCGTCAGCGCGCAGGCCGGGGTTCGACTCCCCGCTCCCGAATAAATTCTGCTTCGAGTTTCTTTTTTTCGTCTTGTATTGTGGCTTCGATTGCTCTCGCTGCGATGCCATGCCGCGTAAAGGCGCCCTCCGCTTTCCTTCTGTCGAGTTCTTCGCTCCTGCGGCGTACATACCTATATTTAACCAGCCTCGAAAAGATAGGATTCAAGAACTCAACTTCTGAGTAGCACCGATGTCAAAAATTGCTCTTCAGGTGCCTCGTTTGGCAAGAGGTGCACATAACGAAATAGTCGGGTGTGGTGTACGGAACACCGCGTGCCGTCATGTTGAAGTGTCGAAATGATGCTAGCGCGCAGTCCGGGGTTCGACTCTCTGCACCCGAATGGTGGGATGCAGCCAAATGCTTTTTTTCACCAGGGGTTGGACTCCCCGCGCCCGAATAATAGTACGCGCCATTGATATTTTTCGCGTCAATCCCTCCCGATGCGATGCATGCCGGTCCAAAAACCGTTTCCCGCCCCGTACAGTCCTTCGCTCCGATAGATGTAGGTGCTGCGCTGCGAAATTTATTTAACCAGCCTCGAAAAACGGGATTCTTAATAACACATTCACAAAATGTCCTACCTAAATCCTCAGTTGGCAAGGGGACAGGCTGGGTAAATATTCGGGTGAGGTGTACGCCACACCGCGCATCTGCTTTACTGAGCGATGTTGAGTGTTAAGCGATAGCGCGCAGCCTGGGGTTCGACTCCCCGCGCCCGAATAAGGCCCGCTTCGGGATTTTTTTCCTTTTTCTTTTCGGGTTGTGTTGTAGCTTCGATTGCTCTGGATGCGATGCCAGCCCTCAGCTCGTCAGGTTTCCTTCTGTCAATTTCTTCGGTCCTGCGACTTACTTATATTCAACCAGCGTCGAAGAGATGCAGGATTCAAGAACTCAACTTCTGATTAGCACCAATGCCAAAAATTGCGCTTCAGGTGCCTCGTTTGGCAAGGGGTGCACAGAACGAAATAATCGGGTGTGGTGTACGGAACACCGCGCGTCTCCGTACCGAAGATGTGTGGCACCGATGGCGCGCAGTCCGGGGTTCGACTCCCCGCGCCCGAATTACGGTGATGTTTTCATTGTTTTTCTTCTTTTCGGAGCTTCCAGCTTCTCGGTCGGCGCTAAAAACTCCAACTGATGCTACGACATTTATTCACCCAGGAAATTCGGAACCTCGCCGTCTGAGTAGCAGCACTGAAGATGTGCCCTGTTCGGATGTGGTGTACGGAGCACCGCGTGTCCTCCCAGAGTTGCTGCTGGCTGAGAGTAGCACGCAATCCGGGGTTCGACTCCCCGCACCCGAAATCAGGGAATTGAATTGAGTTTTTTTTTTCCCCCCCTTCCCCTTCGACGTTGTTGACGTGCGCAGCGGCAGCCGCCGCCTGGCATTTACACGCCCACTCGCGCGGCCCGAGCACTGATGTTGAGTCAACCAGCATCGCAGAAATCCCGGACCTCCGAGTCGCCGTCTAAATACTGGCAACGCTGCCAAATTTGGCTCTTCAAGTCTCTACCTTGACGAAGGGAGAAAGAGGATAAATATTCGGGTGTGGTGTACGGAATACAGCGCGCCCCCGGGAACACGGAAACGGATGAGAAAGTCGAAGAGCCCCTATTTGCGAGATGCGTGACCGAAGACAGACGCTGATTCGAACTACGTCACATCAGCCCTCCCACTTTTTCTCTGCCTTTCCGCATTCACTTTCCAGCGCACCTCGCCGGCGCAGCAGACCGAGGCCGCGCCCGAATGGCACTGCTCTGCTGGGCCCGCGCGCGTCGCCTCCCCGACCTTCGACCCGGCTAGTACGCCTTCGTCTCCTCCCCGCTCCTCTCCCCCTCCGCACTCGCAGCCGTGCGCCTCCTCCTTGCGCTCTACGCGCTCTGCACCCTCTGCACTGCCCTCGCGCTCGATCTCGACGTCGCCGCCGGGTCCGGGCGCTCCTTCCTCAGCTTCTTCACGTAGCTCTCGTACATCGGGGTAGCAGCGTACCTCGTCGCTGCGGGCGCGCAGACCGCGGGCTACGCGCGCTGGGAAGGACGGGGTATTGGTTGCGGGTGTGGGGGAGGGGAATGCATCTGGTGCGTCAGCCTCCCTCCGTCCTCCTTCCTCCTTGCTCACACTCACACTCACATTCGTGGCGGGCAGCCTGGTCCAACACCTCCCTCCACGCGCTCAACAACGCCTTCGAGCTCCTCCTTACCTACTCCCTGTCCAGATCCTCCTCCTCGCCGGCTATTTGGGCGTCGCGTATGTGACGAAGGCGAGCCAGGGGTTTACCGTGTGTGTCTTGGTTCTTTTCCTTCCTTCGCCTTTCCCGCTTTTCTTGCTCTTTAGGTCGGCGGCGCTGCGCCGCCGGTGCGCGTCGGATGCAAGCGACGCCCGCGCGGCGGTACCTTGCATCTTGTTGTTGTCGCGCCGCGAGCTATTTTCGCCCTCCGCGTCTGTCTTACTTCCTCCCGTCTTGCCCGTTTCATTTCCTTCCTCCTTCTCGGCTGCGCGCCCCGGCGCTCAATCGTCTGCGGTGCGCCGGGCCGAGGGGCGTTGTGACTGACGATCCGCGGTGTTGCGGGGCGGGCTGCGTCACAGTGTGCGTTGCGAGAAGCGCCCGTCCTGCGCCCATCCATGTACCTTGAGTGCACTGGCAGACTCCGTTCTTGCGACCCGAGTTGCGCCCGCGTACATACTGCGTGGGCGCGCGCCTTCTTGCGCCCTTTCGCTCGGGCTGAGGACCCACCTCTCCTGCACCGTCGCACCCCCTGCGGAACGATACCTTCACGGCGTGGCGCGGCGCAGTCTGTGTCCGCCATGTCGCTGCGCTGCGATATGGTATATGGACAGGCACCCGCGCTGCCGCCGCTGGCGTGGCCCGCGTGCTGCGCGTGAGGTGCCGCACGTCGAGCGCAAGCAGGCGCGGCGATAATCCTGTGGGGCCTCGGCCTCGGGGATGCGCCGCGCGCGAGCTATTTCCGCCCTCCGCATCTATCCTGCCGCTTCTTCCCTCGCCCCCGGCTGTCTGCGGTGCGGGCTGCGGCGCGTTGCGGCGATCCGCGAGGCGTCTCGGACGCTGCGGCCTATCATGTGCGCCTGCCGCCGGCGTGGTGTTGAAGGCCAGCCCTCTTCCGTCGCGTGCGCCCAGTGCGCCTCGTTTAGTGCACTGGCAGATTCCGTTCTTTAAATTTACAGTTCGAGCTGCGCGTTCTGTACCGCGACGGGCGCGCTTCAGCGTACATAATGCGGGACCCGCGGCTCCTGCGTTATTTTCGCTGCGCTGTGCGGCGTAGTCTGTGGCTGCCCGTTTCGCCGCGCCGCGATATGTGTAGACAGGCGCCCGCCGCACTAT